TCCAAAATGTATGAATGTAAATACATGTGTGTGTGTGTGTGTGTGTGCTCAACTATACAATGCACGTTTATATGGCGATACTTGTATCACGGCATCTGGCGATTGTTGAACACCGCATTACATCTTGACGCTTTCTCGTTTGCCAGGGCGAGCCTATGGATTATATCGAAGTGGTGGGTAGAGGGAAGACGATCACAGTGGCATCGCTGCCCTTCGTGGCCGTGCCCACCACAGCAGGGACTGGTGCGGAAGTCACTAAGAATGGAGTTTTGGCGTCAACTGAACACAACGTGAAGGCATCGATTAGGTGAGTGGGTCTGAGTCTTATAGTCTCTTTCTGCTGCTGCCCATAAACCAGACGAACACCAATGCCTGTTGGTGATATCGGCGCTGGCGGTGTATTTAATTCACGTGTGGTCTCTGATGAGTGGCGTAGTGTATGTAAAACTGTGCACACGGTGGAAGCCCTGGCGACAAGCGAGATGTGCAACAGTCTCTCAAAAGCGACTGATTGTCTGTGCAGCATTTAAATATGAACAGTATCTGCGAGGCCACTCGACAACTCATGTCCATGATTCCATCCGTTGCATCGCAGGGCCTCTACCATGATACCGACTGTCGCAGTCGTGGATCCCTTACTGGTAAGTGTTGTCGCTTTCTTTATCTATATTTCTTTCAGCACAGGATTAGCTGCAACTTCTAGTGTCACTGTACACATCACACGGCGTTTATTGCGTGCGTTAAATGAATATATATTCCATCTAGCATACTGATGGTCTCAGATATTGCACATACTTCACAATTCACCCGTTTCAATCCGTTCTCAGACTGTCTCGATGCCCCCGAGTGTGACCGCAGCCACCGGCCTGGACGCCCTCACACAGAATTTGGAACCGTTCCTCTCCGTGCTCGCAAATCCGCTGACTGATGCTATTGCACTTCAAGGTGTCAAATATGGGGCTAAGTATGTTGGTTAAAACTCGGGATTTTGTCGTATTGTTTATCGCGCAAAAGAGATATATAGGGACACGTATGTGCCATGTCGCTCGTGAGTACTATATACTCAGAGCAGTTAACTGTGTAAATCTGTGTGTTCATTTATAGTCGTGATTCATTTAATCACGCTTTGGTTTTCTAGTGAGTGATGTCTCTTACGTTCAGCATGGAGTTTTTTATCATTCAATCAAAAGAGTTAAGAATGGATTCATCTGTACTATTTTCCACTGATGGGTGCATGTATCTAGTACGTTCATAATTGTCAATATATATATTTATATATGTGTGTATATATATATATATC